AAAAAAAAAAAAAAAAACGAATTCAGAAAAATCTGAAAAACACATATGTTATGCAAACAAATAAACTGAACAACTTTTGCCTTGGGGTCATATCAAAATTCGTTACCAAATTTGAGATAAAAAACAAACAAAATCCTTTATTTTTCTTACTAAAAGAATAAAGTGAAGAACTTTTGCCGGAGGGATTTCTGTTTTTCATTTTGTTAAAATTCAAAACGAAGTCAAAAAATAAAACTAAAAATATACGGTTGTAGACCGCAAAAAAACCTACAACCCCTTTTTTTTTGTTTTTTTGTGGCCTATTATTCTAGGAATTAAAAATGTCGGGGTTTTTCGACCGAGGCCCTCGCCCGCAGCCGACCTCGGCGGTTGGGATCCCGACCGCAGACCGAGATTGACCCCGCGGTCATGACCGTGGGGGATTCATAGGGACTCGATGATCCTGACCGTGAAATGGGCTGCTGTCTTTTCGTGGGATGCTTTAACCCAGTCATACCTCATAAACGGGTGCGGAACTACCATTCATATTCCGCTCCCGTATGTTTTCCGCTTTTCTAACCGTCCCTCATTCCACCTATAATCCCGCGCCCTTTCATTGGCCCGTCTCGGATCGTCCTTGGATAATTCTCGAAGAGAGTTCCCTACGATGGTCGCTATCAAAGCGACATCTGTCCACACCTCTGCCCGTCTATACTGTAAGGTTTTTTCCAATCCTTTCGACATCGCTTCCAGGAATTGAGCCTCCGTCGGAATCTTATCAGTACGGCACAGATGGCAGAGCCACCGTTTCTGCGGATTCCTATATTGGATGCATGATCCATGGGCCGGGACTACGCACGTGGCACACTCTACCCACTCAACGTACCCTTCATTTTTCGGCTTAACCGAAACGGAGTGGATGCGTGAGATAGACACACACAGAAAACAAAAACGATCGGGGAGGGAGAATAGAAAAGAGGAAAAAAGAGAGAGGGCCCTCAGCGTTCTCTTCTCTCTGGGACGCCATAAGGACACGTGTCACTTCTTCGCCTGCCAAGGGAGAACCTTCACCTGGCCGTACCCGAGTCCCTTGGGCTGCTCCGGATCCTTCCACAGAGTGATCTCTTCATTGCATGGTACCTTGCATGGCCGGTGCAGACGTGTCAATCCATCGGAGTTCCCGTGCCTTTCCATTTTTCTGTGGACGATATCGAAGTCGTACTCCTGCAGCCTCACCGCCCATCACCCAATCATTCTCGTGTTGTTCGTCAGCTTCTTGACGGCTAACAATGGCCCGTGATCCGTTACGAGGAGGAACTTCTGCCCGTAAAGATACGGGTGGAAGTGCTGGATTCCCCAGACGACAGCGTAGCATTCTCCTTGTGGCGCCGAGTCATTCTTCCTTTCGTCCGACACCGTCCTCGAAGCATATTCGACCACGTGCTCCCGCCCGTCTTTCCCCTTCTGAGCTAGGATAGCGAAGATATCCTTTGGCTGCCAGTCTGTAATGAGTAGGAACCGGCGCTCAGGATTGGGCCGGATTAAAATAGGGGCCGAGGCCAGGGCCTCCTTCAAATCACTGTGCAAAAGGCCTGCTCACACTCCGCGTCCCAGCTCAGCGGCTGGTCCTTCCGCAGGAGGTTCATCAGGGGTCGAGCGATTGCCGCAAAGCCCTTGATAAACCGTCGGTAATACGAGGCCAGTTCCAGGAAGGCTCGAACCTGCGTCAATGAAGTGGGCGTGGGTGCTTCTCGAACAGCCTTGACCTTCCTCGAATCCGGTCTCAAGCCTCCTCGGGTTACCACGTAGCCCAGGAACGAGATCTCAGACAGGAAGAATTCGCTTTTCTCCAACGCAATCTTGAAACCGGCGTCACGCAGCGCGCCAAGTGTCCATTCAATATGCTGCGCGTGTCCATGGAATGATTCTGAATACACCAAAATATCGTTCACGTACACGATAACGCAAAAGTTGATCATGCCCTGAGTTAGCCTGGTCTTGTTTACGAAGTTCTGGAAAGTGACATTCGTTGCCCGCTGAAAAGTTGTCGGCGCATTGCATAACCCATAGGGCATCGAACCCACTGCCACGTGCCCTCAAACAAGACAAACACCGTCTTTGGCCAATCCTCTTCCCTCACAAGGATATGGTGGAACCCGTGCCGAATATCAAATTTACTAAAATAATTTGCGCAGCCAATCGCATCCAGCAGATCATCAATCCGATGGAGGGGGTATACATCCTTGATCGTGATGTCATTCAATTTTCGATAATCAATGCAAATGCGGATCGATCCGTTATTTTTCGGAACCAAAACTACCGAAAAGGACCAAGGACCTGTAGTGGGCTCTATCCAACCGTTAGCTTCGAATTCCCGGATTCGCTCGAGTGCTGCCTTTCGTTCTGCCAATGAGTATCGATAAGGTTTGCAATGAATCGGCGGGTGAGTACCGGTCTGAATCTCGTGCTGGATTATTAAAGATAACCCGATGTCCGCGTCGTCAATGCCGATAGCACCCCAATATTCCGCTAAGATCTCTGCTATAAGTTGGTGGGTTCCGTCAGGCACGTATTCTGGCACGTGTAATTCGTAAGGCCGCCCGTGGATATCGACTGTAACGTGCTTGGAACGTACTGCCTTAGAGTCCCGGGGCGACGGGGAAGAGATGTAAGAGTTGTCCGACCACCACGAGAACACAGTGGCTACGATCTGGGCTTCCTCTTCTCGGATGGCCACGTGTTCTTCGGGGGTTATTCCATCCGCAATATCCCAGGGATCCACCGATTTCTCAGCGATCCTTATCCCGACATCAAACAACGAGGCTTCGGGGCACCCAGGGGGTTCCGGAGCCTGTATCTCCGCTCCCAGACGCAGCAACCGTATCTCCTTGTATGTGGTAAGAAGTGATCGGGGAGGGGATTCCGTGACGTCGCAGAAGAATCGCTTGTCCACGTATCGGGGGAGCAAGGGAGTAGTGCCCTCGTACAGGGTCCGAGGGGGTTCCAAAGAATCGGGCAGCCTTGACACCTGTACCAAGGACTCTCCTATGATTAGAGCCCGAGTTCGTTGGACATTTTCTTCGGTCAACACGAACGTTGTTGTCGTTTTCTGCCGGACTGGGTAACAGATTTCCCTTCGTGTCAACTCTTGAATCGCCAGGTTTGTCTCGTCCTCGCTTTCCGAATCCTCAGGGAGCGGGGACGCGTGTTCTTCGCTGCTAGTCTCTAAGTCCTCTAGGAGTCCGTCTCAGGTGGCTGTCTGAATCGGCCCGCCCACCTCTGGGTGAGCTCTACGTGGCGGGTTGGTAGCCGTGCGGAGGGTGAGGCGCATGGTGACTGCATACGGCTTACCCCCGGTGTTCTTGATAACCACCTCCCATCACTCAAAGTCTAGATTGGCCTGGAGGGCGTTTAAAGCAGGCAGTCCGATGAGTACGTCATATGAGTTCACATTAAGAACCACCACATCTCCCAAGGCGTCGACTTTTCCCAACTTAAAAGCGACGTTTGTCATTTTTCCTACCGCTCTGATCTTTTCCTCATCGGCGGAGATCAAACGGTCTCCTTCGTTGAGTGGTATCAGATCCTTCCTTCTTCCTGCCCGTTCTACTACTCGCAGGGATATTGCCAACACTGCTGCCCCGGAATCAAGGATCACGCTGTATGGGACTCCCCAGATCTCCACTTCACACTCCGCGGACTTCCACGGGATAGCTTTGATGCGCAGAAAATGGTCGTTTTTCTGGAGAAGTCCCGGGCGTACAGGCTCTGAGGTTCTAGGTGTATCCGACCTTGTCTCCTTTACGGGAGCCTTCCCCTTGGCCGTTGCCAGCTTGGCGAGTGCGAATCGTTTTCGATTGGCCTTGCAATGCTGGAGCATGCGATCATTGGCCTGTTCCAATATGGACAACAGGTGGCCGATCGGAAGCGGAATGCGGTGATCTAAGGCTCGGATTATGTCCAAAACATAGATCTTTCCGGTGACAAACTCAGGACCGCCGGATTCCATCTCCCCAGGGGATGGTCGCCATTATGAAATCTCTCGCTCATCGTCCGCGGGCTGGATTGCCCCTATCATCCCAAGCCCCGGATATCCCAAGGAGAGGAATTGATCTAGTGGGATGAGCTCTGCGGCTTCCTCGATTACCCCTGTGCTTGGTGGTGCCACGTTCGTTTCTTCTACCATGGTTCCTACTCGTCCAGGCCCGTTAGCTAAGGGAGTTGCAGCTGTCGGGGCTACCCCTATTCTTACTTGTCGTTGGGGGCAATCTCAGGCCATGTGGCCGGGTTGATGGCAGGCGTAACACGTGTCAGTCTTAGGGGTCGTGCCTGCGCCAGCTTCCGCGGCTGCGGGAGCAGATGCTTGGGTGGGAAAAGGGGCAGCGCGAACGTTAATGGGACGCATGGAACACATCAGCGACTCCATGCGGGCATTGTACTCGTGCTATTCTTTTTTGCTTTCTTGCATGAGGCTAACCAGCGTATGTGTAAGGTCCAGCACTGCGTTCGACTCCTTTGTTTTCCCCGCCGGAGCGGGTGTCTGTGCAGCCGCCTTGGGCGTCGATGGTCATGCTTCCTGATCGGGAGGGCACCGTAGGGCCGCCACCTGTTTCGGGTAGGTGACACGGCCTGAGATGAAGCCCATATTTTTGAACTTATGTTGCAGGGCTGCTAATTCAATCCTTGCGCGGGTCAGTTCCATAGAGTCACCTTCTTGAGCGTGATCTTCTCCCTCGAGGAAGCTGGCAACGAACTTTCACTCCATCTCTTCTGCTGTGTCCATGATTTGCGTCAGCCTTCAGGGTGAAGGTGATGGGGGAGAACTGTTTTCGTTTCTTAGCCCGTATAGCTCTACTTCGAAGTCCATCTATGAAGAATCTTCTTCCAACCTTTTCGTCTCTCTGAGATTTTATAAACATTCGATAAAACCGACTACGGTATTCCGCAATAGACTCGAGGGGCTTCTACACTCGGTCTTTGATCATAAAAAACGCTTGCTCTGGATGTATGTAATCAAATCGGTGTAGGAAGTCTCTCTCGAAGGTAGGAAGGTCAATCCATACGTAGGTGCTGAACCAGTGATGGGCACAAGCGGTTATCGGGTAAATTCAGGAATGAAAATCCTGAAGTGAGAGTTTTGGGCAGTCTGAAAATCCTAAATGGTTCTGAAATGGTAAAAGGTCCAAAGACCTTGTAAACCACCTGTTTAGGCAGGCTGCATCCTGAAGTGGTGAAGGGTGTCCTGAAGTGGTCAGGTGAGAGTTTTAAGCAGTCTGAAAATCATGAATGGTACTGAAGTG